GCTCCCGCACAATAGGCGCTCAATGAATGCCCACTCTAATTCACTCCCCCACCCCCTGGGGCTGTCGGCTCCTCTGGGTGGCAGTGGCACCTTGCCAGGAAGCAGCAGTGCTGTTTGGGTGAGGGGAGAATAATCAGCCGTAAACGCCGCAATCAGGGAGAAAAGGCTGCTGGGCCCTTGGCGCCCACGCCTGTGCCTAATTGGCTCCACGTGCCTGTAGCTCCTCTCAAGAGCAGAAAAGTGGAAGGGTCAAGATCTCTTAATGTTCGTAATGGAGGGGAGGCAGAAGCCACTGCCAGCCCCATATAAACACCTTTTAATTGCCTGGAGAAGGGTGGGCGGAGGCAGCCGGTGCGCCAGAATCCCCTGCCTGTCTGGCTACCACTGCGGTGCCTCTCAGAGCTTCCCTGGTCTGCAGTCAGCCAGCCCCCGGGGCTGGCCCGCAGCTAGAACCCCAGCCACAGCGCTGGGAGGTTTCAGCGTCATGAGGCCCCTCCTCCCGGCCAGGCCCCGGAAGTACCGACGCCCGCGGCCTTGTCCTCCCAGGACCATCAAGGCAACAGGGAAGCAGCTCCCGAGCTGGCCTGCAGCTGCTGGAAGCCAAACTTTCCCCTCGTCGGTCTGGTCTGCTCCTCCAGGCGGTCCCACACTTGAGGTCACCCGCTGAGCTGAAGGCAGCTGCCTCCTGCTGCAGCCCCCCATTCCAGCTGCACCTTCTGGGGTCCCGGTGTCTCTCTGCTCGGGGGAGGGCTTTCTTTCACCATGGCTGTGTCTTTCTGTCTCATCGGACCAATGGTTCTTAGTCTGGAGAGTCTGTGCCTCCAGGGAACATTGGTAATATCGGGGGACGTTTTTGCTGGCTGCAACTGGGGGAGTTCAGTGTTCCTGGTGCCTGGTGGGCACAGGGCAGGAGGCTGCTCAACGTTCGCCCATGGCCACAGCAGCTCTGCCCAGATTTATCCAACCCAAACGTCAACAGCGCCGAAGCTGAGAAGCCCCGCGTTAGATAAAGCTCTAGAGAGAAAGCAGCCAGTAAGTGGGAGGCAGGCAGGATATTCTCCCTCCTGATTGGGGGGGGGGGGGGTCCTGCAGCCTCTGGGCCCCTGGCTCCCTCCCTGGCTCAGTCTCCTTGCTCCTCTGAACACCCAGCCCAGAGCCCAGTTCCTCAACAGACCTGGCCACACTGCCAACAATGCTTCATTTTAATTGGGTTAAGTGGCCATTAGCGGCGAAAGCAGGGCAGCTATGTGCAGAAAGGTTTTTAATTTTGCTCTTTAAATGATGCTTGCTCCCTTGAGAGGCCACCGGTGGTGGGAACACTGCCCACTGGAGCCCCAAGAAGCAGAGCCACAGCAGCACGCCCCCCCCACCCCCCGATGCTGACCCTCGTGGGGGTGAAGTGGGAGGGTGCTCAGTGTCTTATCTTTCCTGCCCAAGGAGGAAACTGAGGGTGAGACTTGCCCTGGCCCTCCCAGAACAAAGCCCTGTCAGGGGGCAGGAGAGTGCCACCTCTTTGACCCTTGTCTTGCCCCTGTCGGGAGAAGATGCCACGTGGCCACTAGTGGAAGCATGAAGGAGGGCAGTTGTGGGGTCTGGTGCCCAGCCGCCTGGGTCCACCCGAGCTTTGCTGTGAAACAAGGAGTAGTGACGTAACCTCTCTGGAGCTCAGCTTCTTCTAGGGTAAAATGGGAATAAAGGAGTAACCTGTTGGCTTGTAGTGAGGATTTAGGGGGATCTGCAGTGTTTCCACTCACCTGAGGCCAGGCACTTGGCGGGCTCTCACCAAGGGGCCAGTACTGTGGGAAGGCATTACTTCTGCCATTTTAGGGGAGCGTCCTGAGCTCTCAGTTCACACAGTCAGTTGTGAAGCGCTGACAAATACTGAAGCCCAGCCCCACCTTGGGGTGCACTAGGTCTGGGGTGGGGCCTGGGCATCTTACTGAAAAACCTTTGCAAGCAGGTTAAAACACTGCTCGAAGAGACAGGCACAGGGCACAGGGTCCCTTGGCCCCAGACGAGGAAGTGCCTGGGGAGGGGGCGTGGGGAGCAAGGGCCTGCTAGGAAGGGCAGAGCTTCAAGGCCGAGGCCCCTAAGTCCAGGATCCCCACCCAGGCCGTCTGGTGGCTGGCCTGTTCCAGGTGGGAAGTGAAAGCGTCCCCCAGAGCAGGCTTCTAGCCAACACTGATCTCCCTGGAGACCCAGCGCTGGCCTGGCTTCCCTGGCCCTGGGCCCTCTGTCCTCCAGGAGCCAGTCCACCGAGGCATCGCCCTTGTCCACAGGGAGAGGCTGGAGCTCCCACCTGGGCCACACCTCACCTCAGGCAAGGCCCATGCGTCCTCCCACCTCCTCCCCTCGGAGCCACAGGCCGCGGTACCAGGCAAGGTGCTGCAACTGGCCCAACCTTCAGGGACACTTTTTCATCAAGTTCTTTATAAATGAGGGGGCTGTAAAGCCAGGAGTAGTGGGCAGGGATGGTTTATTTTTTTATGCATATGGAACTGGGGTAGAGGCCAGAGATGCAGGGCAGTGAGAGGGCTCACCAGAGACAGAGCGGGGGGCAGAACAGGCAGAGCGACGAAGTACACTGCTGAGGGGAGCAGCGGGCGGGTCAGGAGAGGTCTGCTGCGCCATGTGGGTCAGCTCCGGGGCGGGGATTGAACTACTCACACTGAAGCGGCTGCGGCCAGCTTCGTAGTGCTGGGCTTTACCCTGTTGCACTACCAGGGGGGGCCCTCACGTTCTGGTTTTATGGAGGGAGACGCTAAGAAGTGCTGTATGAGAGCAGGAACAGGAGTCGTCCTGCACGGCATACCCAGCATCAGCCTGGCACATGAAGAGATGACCTTTCTGGGAAAGGTCACAGCTCAACTCTGCCTCCCATGTGCTATAAGAACTCAGCCCTCTCCTTATCCCCCTCAGGACTCAAGACAAAGGACAGATTCTGGCTCAGAGACCGACCCCCGCCTCCCCCCGCGGGGAGTCTAAGCTCTAAAACACCCCTTCCCTGTCCTGGTAGGGTAGCAGAGGCACCAGCAGGTGTCCTGGACTTGGGGATTCTGGGAACAAGGCGCTCACCTGGCCCCACATCCTGTGTGACAGTGAGTCCTGTCCTGCGTGCTCAGTGCCCCCTTGCCAGCCCAAATTAAAATTCTAGGCCAGAGCAAGGGGATTTAAATTGGATTACTGCATGGGGGTGAAGGGAGGCACCGCCATGAAGTGAGGGTGGGGCAACATCCCTCCATCTAGAAGCACTCAGACTTCAAACAAACGTGGGAAAGGAGAAAAGGAACAGAACTTGATTAAAAGCAAATAGAAAAGGTAATTAAGAGCAAAGTTCCTCTTGACCAATTAGGACCAAGGAGGGGGAAGCCGGCCTTCCTCTTCCTCTGGGGATATGGACAGGAGGGAGCACCCTGGGGGCCGCAGCCCGAGGGTGAGAGGACAGAGGAAGAGAGACGGGTCAGGCCAGTTCTAGTGGGGCAGGACCTGGCTGGGCACTGGCTGGCTGGGCAGGGGAGCAGATTTCTCATGACCCAGGATGATGCCACTGGCCCCTGCGGCGACTGCTGCCCCAGCCCCCTGGCGTTTTCCGCTGTCTCCTCCGGTGACGCGGTGGTCCCAAAGGTCAGGCGGACTGGGCTGGCCCACTCTGGGCGCACTGGAGAGGGGCCTTCAGAGGCCACCCGCTTTGGGTGTCTGGTCCCAGATGCTAGACTCTTCTTAGCCTCCAGGAGGCACGGGGTGGGCAGGCGACCCCAGGGGGACAAAAAGGACCAGCTCCTGGGGGAGAAGGTGGTAGTTCTCTCCTGGATCTGGATTTGGTGGGCGTTGGGGCGAGGTGGCAGACCAGACCAGATCCTGCCAGGTCCCTAGCCTGAGTCTGGGCATGGCTTCTGTGGACTTGCTTTTTTTGTTTGTTTGTTTGTTTTAGTTAGCTTTATATAGCTATAGCTTCATTGAGCTATAGCTTTATTGAAGTATAGTTTTAAAATTAGCTTTACTGAGATACAGTTACTGAGATACACGCTAACATTCCTCTACATTAGTATACAAGTCAGTGGGGTTTTTTGGGGCATCCTCAGTTGTGCAACCATCACCACAATCTAATTTTAGAATATTTTCATCACCCCAAAAAGAAATCCTGTACCCATTAGCCAACACTCCCTGTCCCCTCTCTACCCAGCTCTAGGCAATCACTAATGTGCTTTCCATTTCCGTAGACTTGCCTATTCTGGACATTTCACAGAAATGGGATCACACAATAGGTGGCATTTTGTGACTTTTCTCTCACTTAGTATAATGCTCCCAAGTTCACCCATTCTGCTGCATGTCTCAGTGCCTCATTCCTTTTCATTGGATTCATTCATCTTTGACACGGCTGAGGGCAGACCGAACCCTTGCCCTCGTTTACTGCACAGCCTGCCAAGGGCACTGCCCCTGCAAAAGCACCTCCTGACATGCCTTCCCTGGGGTGGGTCTCCTGGCCTGGGGTCTGCCGCTTTTTGGTCAGTTGGGGAAACCAGGCAGGTTCTGTCACCTCACAGAACCACAGTGCCTTGGAGCTCATGGGTGCACGCTCCCTGAGTGGAGATGGGGAGCCTGAGGCCCCGGGGTGGGCAAAGAAGTAGCCACAATCATGCACAGATTAGGGACTTCAACCTCTAGTACCACATAGCCATGCCACGCTGTAGGGTATCCAGAACCCTGCACTTCCTTCCCATCAGAGATTCTCAGCCACCCATGGGTCACTGTCCTGGCCAGGCACTCACCAGGTCTCGCCTAGACAGAGCAGAGGAGTGGAAGGGGGGCCTCCCTTCTAGGCCCCAATGCCTCAGATCACCTCTCACGCAGTCTGCTCTGGCTGCCCACAGCCCATGCGTGCACAGCTCAGCCAGCGCTGGCTGGCCTGAATTTGGAGGCCAGGAGTACACGTGCTCACGGCGCCCGGGACCTCACTCTCACAGTGCCTGGCCCTTTCCCAAAGCAACAGCCACACTTACCTTCAAGGCCTGCACCTTCCTGTCCAGCAGGCTCTCAATGTCCCCTGCCACCTTCTCCACTAACTTCTGAGGTTCATTCTCTTGCACCTCAAATAGATTCCGGTTGTCCTTGTAAATCTGGAAGGAAGGAGAAATGGGGGTAAGGCTAGGGTAGGCCGTATTCCATGTCGTGGCCCCCACACCCCTCTCTGAACAGCTCACCACAGTACAGTCCTCACCCCCAACTGACCCTGACTGTGGGCACGGAGGGAGCTCGGAGGTCTGCGGGATGGGCCCAGCACTTCTGCGGACTCAGAGGAGGCTCACGTCACAAGCCCCATGGCTTGCATGGTTCTGGCTGGCTGGGCAGGACCATCACTGCCTTCTGTGAGATGCAGGGTTCTTCTAGGGACCATAAACAGCACTCCCTGACTGGCACAGAGTGCTGCTGAGGGCAGCAGAGAGGTGAGCTGGATGGGAGGCAGGGCGTCAGGGGAGATGAGCCCAATAATCACACACTGTATTGAGGCACAACACACCCCAATACAAAGACACCTCACACTCAGGTGCGGACTCATGGGCACACCTGCACAAGTCACCTCGGCCCCTGGGTCACCCCTCCACATGGGCTCCGGCAGCCATGTCACTTCTTCTTTTTTTTTTTTTTGCTAATGCTGCCTCAGGGCATTTGCAGAAAGTTAGTGGAGCTCTGGGCCTCCCTAGAGACTCCTGTCACTCAGAGCATAGAATTGGGGCAGGGGCCAGGAAAGAGAAAGCAGATGGGGAGAACACATCTCCCTCTTTCTTGGGGTGGGGGTGGGCCAGTGCACACACCTGGGGTGGAAATTTAACAGTCACGCATCTTTGTGTGAGTGTGTGTTACGGTTCAGCACACATCCCTCTGTGTGCATGTGCCTATGTATTGGGGGTGGGGTGGGGTGGGGTTAGGGCTCCAGACAAGGCCTGGAGAAGCAGAGTTCTTCAGGGGTCTTTGTTCGAGGCTGGTCTTGGGTGTGCGCACACGCCTCTCTCTGTGTGAGTGTGAGCACGCGTGTGTGAGCATGCCGGTGCGTGGGTCACCAGCCCTGTGTGATGAGCTTGAATGGGTCCACACGTCTACCCAGGTGACCCCAGGAGACCCATGCCCCAAACTGGTCCTTCACTGGAGGTCACAGGCTGGGCTGGTGTAACAGAGCTGCTGCCGCCAGGCTGTGCCATCAGGCTGTGTAGAAGCAGAGGCATGTGGAGAGATGTGAGAGGAGGTGATGAGGAGGAGATAAAGAGGTGGGAGAGGCAGCTGATGAGAGACAGACAGGCAGGAGAGATAAGGTCCTGGAGTGACAGTGAGACACGGGAGATAAGGCCTCTGGCATCCTGCAGGGGGAGGGGTGGGGGAGCCAGGCGCTTCCATAGCCCCTGCCCTGCCCCTCCCAGTGCCTGGCAGTCCAAGGGTTAAAGCACTACACAAAGCCGCACAGGCAATCTCCTCCTCCCGCCACCCCCATCCCTCCCGGCTTCTCTTTTCTTTTTGTCCTTCTCTTAGAACAAAATAATTTGTGGTGAAGTCGCTCCTTCCCACAGAGCAGTGGCGATTAGAGGGCCGAGTCTTGAGGCCTGGAAGTGAGGCTGGGGAGGACGGAGGCCCCAAGTGGGCACCAGGCCAGGTTGTTCCCTGGGCCCCCTGGGCCCTGTCTCAGGCAGAGGCCAGACAGAAGACCTTGATGGAACAGGGTTCAGGGAGGGATCAGAGCCTGGGGTCACTTGAAAATGCAGGGGGAGTCTGAGCCCAGTGCCCACTATTGGGGAAACTGAGGCTCAGGAACAGGAGAGGACGGGTCAAGGCCACACAACTGAGTGGCAAAATCAGGTCCCACGTCTTCCTGCATCCCTTGTCCTTCCCAGGTTTGGGGACACAGAAAAGAGATTCCTTCTCTGCCCCAGGTCACTCTCTTTGGGTGTGCTGAGGTCAAGGCCTCAGTGCCCAGCCCACTTGCTCTGGCAGGGAGTGCAGCTTCTTGACTTCTCAGAGAGGGGGCCATCCCTGACTTCCCTGTCAAGGTCACTCCCAGAGCCTCTGCCTATAGCACTGAAGCCCTGGGACTGAGGCTGGGTCATGGGTTCCTGACAACTCTCCTTGGGGAGCCCAGGAGATCCCCACTGGGCCCATGGGGCCCCTGGCAAACTGGCATGATGTCTGGGCCAGGACTCAGGGGCGCAGAAGGTGGGGGTATCCAAGGGGCAGGGTCACACCCAGGGGACCCAGGACTTGGAAACAGGGACCCTCCAGAGTCACCGCATTTCTGAATCTCAGTTTATTGAGTGTGAGAATGGCGTCACAGGCTGGTGGCAGACGGTGAGGAGCCTATACTGTTGTCACTACAGCTATTATTTAGGATCACTGGAATCCAGCAGAAGGAACTGGCCCCCTCCCAGTCTGCTCTCCTTGCCACATCAGCACACTTGGGCTCCAAAGCTACAGGCTCCCATTCCTGGGCAGGAGCCCCCGCCTCCCAGGGGTCTGCCTGCCTCTCCTCCACCCATCCGGGCCTCCCAGCAGTCCCTCCCCAGACATTCAGTCCTTGTCTCTGACACCTCAGTCTCCACCCTGTAGCTGATAACAATGAAGCCTAGACACTGGGACGCCGCGGACAGGGTATAGCTGTGGCCCGCGCCCTTCCATCTCCCCAAGCACCAGGCTGGTGTGTCAGAGACCCTTGGGAAATGTGTTTGCTCAATTCCGTGTTCAAGAGCAGAGTTTTGGGGCCAGTTGGACCTAGGCCTGATTCCTTTGTTTCTGCCTACAGCTGCGCTACGCCTTGGGGCTTAGGGCTGCATCTGCCTTGCCCAATTCCTGTCCCACTTTCATGTAAGGGCCCCTCACAACATGTGTCTGCGCACCCCCCGCCCATGCCAGTATTCCCGACCTCTCCAGCCCACTGACCTGGCACACATTTTCTTGGGGCCCCAGACCCCGCGGATTCCTAGGCCACACCTTTGCCCGTGCTATCCCTGCTTCCCTTCTGCCTTTCCTTGCCTGAGTAAATCCTCCCCAGAGGGAGGGTGGGGCTCCCCAGAGGGCGGCTAGAAGGGGCTTCTGGGAAGATGAGGGCATCATTCCAGAATAGGGGTGCTGGTCCTGTTACCAGCAAAGCCTGTCTTCCAACCTCAAAAGAGCCCCCGAGGTGCAACTGCCTTACTCCTTTCAACCTCAGTGCCTCACTTAACATTAGACGCCCTGTCGAGAGGTTATTAAAGCCCCTGGACCTGTGCCAGTTGCCCCTGTCCCCTGGGAGGGCCCTCGGCAGAGCCCTGTGTCCCAGGGAGAGCCATAGTCTAGCAGCTGGTCCCGCCCTGGGAGATAGGTCATGCCTCCACTGAGGGGCCTTCTGGCTACAGGCCTAGCAGGAAGCCTGGGAGAGGCCAGAGCCACTCCAGAGCATGCCCAGGGTGGGCTCCCTTGAACCACAGCATCTAGCCCTGGTCCCTGGGGTCAGTTCAGAAGCAACAGAAAAGGCCAGGCTCACGGGGTGCTGAGCCCCACCAACCACAGACAGACTGCAGCCTGCTGGTGCCCTTGGCCCAGCGAGCTAATTGGAAAAACCCAACAGCTTCAACAGCAGTGCAACCCGCAGGCGCCCAGCTCTGCACAGCAGCTGCATGGGGGAAGGCCACGGGCCAGCGGGCCTAAGGCTGTGGCAGCTTCACACCAGCCGTGATCCGGGAGCAGCAGCAGGGGCGCCATCCTACAGAGGAGACGGTGAAGAGCAGCCGACAGGGCGCAGACCAGGGGACAGGCTGGCTGCAGCCAGGTGGCACGTGGGGGAGGGCAGGAAGTACAGTGGCAGAGGACAGAGAAGCTGGAAAAGCGGGATGGCTCAGTGGGTCAATGGGACAATTCAGAAGGTGGTCTGCAGCCCTGTTTCCCAGGAAGGGCTCGTCCATCCTGTATCATACACCTATGGCCACCATCACCTGCAGGGTCCTCTTCCCCTGGAGGGTACCACCCCCACCAATTATTGACACCTGTTCCTCCAATGTCTCTCATTTGTTTATTTAAGCATACAGAACTGGGGTACAGGCCAGAGGTGCTGGGGCAGTGAGAGGACTCACCAGAGACAGAGTGGGGAGCAAAACAGGCAGACTGACAAAGTACACTGCTGAGGGGGCCAGCAGGCAGGTCAGGAGAGGTCTGCCACGCCATGTGGTCACCTCCCTGGCTGGGGGTTGAACTCATGTTGAAGCGGCTGTGGCGAGCTTCATAGTGCTGTGCTTTAAACCGCTGCGCCACCAGGGAGGGCCCAATGTCTCCCATTTTCTTATTTGCCTCCCACTCCCTGCCAGAGCTGGCCCCAACACAGCCTCTTTCGGCTCTAATTCTTTTGTAAAGCAGCATGTGTGGCCAGCCTTCTGGCTTGGGATTTTCAGAAGGGGTGGCGGGGGCAGGTGCCAAGGCTCCCTCAGGGGCCCAGACCCTCCGCCTCCTGCTTCTCTGATGTCCCACATCAGAAGGCAAGTAAGCCGGGAAGACACTGGGAGAAAAGTGACCTTGAGCAGGAAGTCTGTATACTCACAGGGCAGGCAGCTCTCAACAGCCCTCACTTGGAGAAGGGGGTTGGTGGTCAAGCTCTGAGGTGCCTGGAACCCAGGGACAGTCACCACAGGGACAAAAGGCTCAGAACCAGTGACCAGGACAGGCCCCAATCGGGCTGCAGAGGTATTTTTGCGAAGCCCCTGACTGTCAGCAGCAGTGGGGCCAGGACTGGGCCAGTAACCAGCCTGCCCAGGAGAGAAGGAAGGTGCAAGGTGGGGAGGAGGGTGGGATGTCAAAGGAAGGAGAGGGAGTGCTGAGTCTGGCTCTGGTCTCCGCCGGGCAGGTGCCTTGTGTGCTCAGACCTCACCCAGCTCTATCAGCCCCGGCGGGACCACCCAGGCCCACTGAGAGCCGGAGAGGGTAAGCCGTGCAGCAGAGTTTGGAGCTGAACCTGGTCAGTCTGACCCAAAGCCCTTGCTGTAGGTCCCCATCTGCAGCTCTGTCCCCTGCATTTATCCCCAAGCTTGGAGAGTAGGCCTCTGGTGGGAGAAGCTGGGGGTTTGGTGGGCATGAAAGGGGCCCGGGCAGACTCAGGAGACCTGTGGAA